CAGACAAGAACCGAAGGGAAGGTGAAACCATAAGGGTTGGAGATAGGGTGTGGCTGTCAACCCGAGGGTTGCCGTTCAAAGGAGGTTGTAAGAAATTAAGACCCAGGAGGTTGGGTCCCTTTGAGGTCATTCAACAGGTCAACCCAGTGGCTTTCAGGCTCCGGTTACCCAACCACATGAAACTGCACCCAGTATTTCACAGGTCGTTACTGTCACCGTACGAGGGGACGAGAAGGGATGGCCACTCGGGGACCGGTCATAGAAGAAAGAGAATGCAGCAGTCATGTGGCAGAAATCCTTGATGCCAGGTGGAAGGGGAATCAGGTGGAGTATTTGGTAGCGTGGGAAGGAGAACCGGAGTCAGAAAACACGTGGGTAATGGCCGAAGATATCAATGACGAGGTATTGATAGAAACGTTCCATCAAAGGTTCCCGAGGAAACCTCAGCCTGTGGAGAGGTTCCGGAGGGAATACTGGGACCACTGAGGAGGAGGAGGAGTTGGAAGGATTCCCAGAATCGGAAGGGGAAGGGGAGATGGACTCGGAGGAGGAGGAGTGCTTCGAGACCAGGAACCGCAACAGGTGGAGAGAAGTGTTCGAGACATCGGAAGATGAAGGAAGTTCATTCCGGGGTTTTGCCTCCTCACCGCCCGTAGAGGAGGGGCGAGAGGGGGTGAAGGGGGCCCTGGAGGGGAGGTGGATGTCAGGGAACTGCCATCGGAAGGAAGGGAGGTGAAAGGACTCAGACAGGTTGGAAGAGACTCAGCAGCGGAAGAGGGAACCAGCAAGGGAGAGAAGCTGAACTGAGGGAGGTGAAATGGCTCAGACAGGTTGGAAGAGACTCAGCAGCTGAAGAGGTAACCAGCAGGGGAGAGAAGCTGAACTGAGGGAAAGGGAGCTGGGGGATGGCTCAGAGATACTTCCAGCGAAACAGTGGTGAGGTTTCCGGACCTCCTGTTGGGACACCCACTCCTCGCCGGAAACTGTCACGCAGAGAGTCCAGAAGACGTGTTTCCGTTAAGGAGCTTTTATGTTGGAAGCGATTACGAAAGCAGCCACTGTCGGAATCTTCTAGTGACTAGAGGAGCCATGTCAGAGGGGCTCAGTCACAGACAGAGGTTTGTGGACTTGAACAAACTCTGAGGGAATACGATTTTACGCACAAGCAGCTCATCTTCCCATCACAGTATATAAAGCCCTTAACAGCTTGGGACCAGTTTCGTTTAAGGGATTGCCATGCCCCGTACATGCTGATTTGATCGCTCCAATCTGCCTAACTTGCACTTTTACAATTGCCACATAATGTGCGTTGGTGAAGAGTTGTATAAAATTTCAACACTTCTGCTGTAAAACTCTCTGCCTATTGACTTTACAGGTGCCCTTGCTATGTTGCTTTTGATGCCTGCTAAAAATGCTACTTCCCCCAGTCTAAGGTAAAGGTAAAGGTACCCCTGCCCGTACGGGCCAGTCTTGACAGACTCTAGGGTTGTGCGCCCTTCTCACTCAAGAGGCCGGGAGCCAGCGCTGTCCGGAGACACTTCCGGGTCATGTGGCCAGCGTGACAAAGCCACATCTGGCGAGCCAGCGCAGCACACAGAATGCCGTTTACCTTCCTGCTGGTAAGCAGTCCCTATTTATCTACTTGCACTTTGACATGCTTTCGAACTGCTAGGTTGGCAGGCGCTGGGACCGAGCAACGGGAGCGCACCCCGCCGCGGGGATTCGAACCGCCGACCTTTCGATCGGCAAGCCCTAGGCGCTGAGGCTTTTACCCACAGCGCCACCCGCGTCCCCTCCCCCAGTCTACACAGGTTTTAATAGTTTTTTAAATGTTACCTTTGTTCGTAATGATTATATTTTTATGTCTATTCCACTGGTTTATGGATTTTAGCTGTTTTTTAAAATTTACAAAGTTATTACTACACTGCTTGCAGAGCTCTGTAATTATTTCCTAAATAAATAAATGATTCTAACTCATCCGTGATCACCGGTGATTGGGAAAGTATACAAGAATATTTTAGGCATCCCAACTAGATTCAGGATTGCAACCAGTGCATCCTCGTTTAAGAAAAGGACTTACCCGAACCCTGAGATAATCATCTAAGGCCCTTCTTCATGTCCCTCCTCCACGAGAGGTTCAGAGGGTGGCAACATGAAAACAGGGCCTTTTCTGCGGTGGCTCCTCATTTGTGCTCTCCCCAGGGAAGCTCACCTGGTGTTTTCATTGCACACCTTTATGTCTTTGGCTTATTGACATCCAATGCTCTTTTAAATGTGTTGTGTGGTGGGGTGGGGAATTATTGGTTTGTTGTTCTTATTTTAATGATGTATTTGGGGGTTTTTTATATTGCATTTTTACACTGTGAACTGCCCTGAGATGAAGGGCAACATATAAATTTAATGAATAAAAACACAAATAAAAAAGGGGGCAGGACCAGTGACAATATGGAGGAAATGGAAATGGAGGGAGAAACAAAATATATGCCCCCTGACCTCTACAGGACACCATTTTTCTTTCAGAGAGGGGCTGCAACCGCCACATGTATACATAAGCGGCTTATCACATTTTTACATTGTTATTCAGCAGAGAGCGGGGGAAGGATGTTTTTACCTGCTGCACATTACTTGTCCGTCAGCCCCCGCCAAGCTCTGCTCTGGAAGGAGTGGGGATTATAATAATAATAATTCAACCTTTCTGTCCATTTTTGAAAAACTTTGTTCAATGTTCTCTTTATTGTGCTTGTAGTGACATCTTCTGGTCATCCCTCAGCACTGATTTCTATTAAAGTTGTGTATTTTGTGATATGCCCAAGCATGTACTGTGTGTGCTATAATTTGCAGTACTGGCAGGCAGGAAAATGCAGTCAGGAAAGAAGGATTCTTTCACCGTTGTTATTCATTGTTAGCATCTGTATTCTGTATGTTCGGTCCATTGAATGAAGCTCGCAGTAGGTGCAGAAGCAACAGATAATATACAGTGGTGCCTCGCAAGACGAAAAGAATCCGTTCTGGGAGTCTCTTCGTCTAGCGGTTTTTTCGTCTTGCGAAGCAAGCCCATTGACGGGATTAGCGGATTAGCGCTATTAGTGGCTTTTAGCGGCTTTTAGCAGTTTATCAGCTTATCAGATAAGCAGATAAGCGGCTTAGCGACTTAGAAAAAGAGGGGGAAAAGGAAAAAAAAACCCCAGGAACTCGCAAGACAGTTTCGTCTTGCGAAGCAAGCCCATAGCAGATTCGTTTTGCGAGGCACCTCCAAAACGGAAAACTCTTTCGTCTAGCGAGTTTTCCGTCTTGCGAGGCATTCGTCTTGCGGGGCACCACTGTATGTAGCAACACTATTCCTGATGTTCTCTTTTTAGGAATGGAGTTTTCTGGGGACGTGATGGAGACTGGTGAGGCTGTCAACAGCCTAAAGGAGGCAAGAGGAATTCATTGGGGCTTGATGGGAAGTTCTGCTTCTGCACATGAGTCTGGCAAACCGCTCTAAGCTGAAGCATTCCTTCCTCACCCACCCTAGAATGTTTAGTTCACATTGAGTTCATGAAACATCGTACCCTGACCTGTTCTTAATGCATGGTTGACCACATCTACGGAATGCGACAGTTATGCTCTTTTAAGTTTTGCAATATCAATCACTAGTAATAGTTTAATAAGGAGGTTTTCATACCTGTCCAACCATGTGTTCCCTTTCCCAACCTTTAATCTATTGATGATTAATGCCTGTATGCAACCCTTGCATTGTATTTGTGTTAACCAATCAGCAACAAGCACATATGTGGCAATGCTGTAATATTCAATAAAAGGGACTTCCCGAGACATGCTTGGGAGATGCCTCCCATATGACACTTGTCATTCGTCTGTCGTTTATTTCAACCCAACAGGGGCTGGAGGTGTCAAGAGAATTCTGGCAGAAATGACTAATGTTTCCTTATTTGTCCCATGTTTGGAATGGAAATCATTTCACCAGACTGAATCACATTTTTAATCTATTTTTTCCCCCAAAGGAAAGTTTATTGAATGCTGTTCTTTAAAATTGTTTTTAGGGAACTGGCTTAACGAGTTTCATTACATTAAGCAATATTAGCCTTATATTAAATAAATAATATTTGTGCAACAGTTTCAGTTAGGGCGGACTTCGCTCTGTCGCACTTAAGGAGGCCAGAAGCAGAGGCATGGAGTCGTGCAAGGCAAAGGTTCAAATAGTTCAGGGGCCTAGTTGCTGCCCTGGGTGGTGCAGCTTGCACAGATCCTGTTAGCTCCCATATCCCAGTTTGCCATTTGGATTAGAACCAGGGGGATTGGCAAAATGATTGCAAAGCTGCTGCTGTCAGGTCAAGAGCGCTGCTTTCAACATGTCTGGATGTTTTACTGTTTTGCGGGGAGAAATGGTAGGGCATCGCTTTATCTCGTGTGTTGATAGCTTTCCATTGATGGCTTTTGGACTAGGGGGATCGTGTAATTGGTGTGGCCAATACCAAAGCTCTGGCAGAGGAGTACCGTATTTTTCGCTCTATAGGACGCACCCAACCATAGGACACACCTTGTTTTAGAGTGGGAGAACAAGAAAAAAATAATTCTCCCCCTCTCAGCGCCCCTTCAGCGAAGCGGCAGGAGAAACGAAGCCCCTTCCATAAATATAGATTGGAAATGGCTGTGTATAGTGAATACTTATCTACTTTTAAAATTCTCATTCTTGATCTTATTTCTTCCTTTTCTTTATCTTCTTCTTGTTCTTTTCTTTTGTATTTTACCTTTCATTTCTTTTCCTTATTGTGAATATTGTTTTGTAGAGTTGCAAATAATTGTAAATATGAGAAGAGGTAAAATGTTTTCTAATTTTCTATTGGTTACATGTATTTTCCTTTTTTTTGTATATTTGTATTTTTTTCTAATTTGTACTCAATAAAATTAATAATAAAGAAAGAAAGAAAGCTCATCACGTGTCCATCTCCTCGTCCCACTTGGCGGCGTCAGGCAACTTCATGTTTTGTCACATGAAATCAAGGAACATGGAGGCCTGCAGTAACCGGCCCAGCCTCTGGAAGTGCCGTGTATGGTAGGAGAGACTCCACAGCTGCTTTGATCCCTTCACATTGCAAGAGGCTCTCTGGCGTCTCATGCTTGAGGAGGGTTTCCACCACTGCCTGAGCCTCGAGGTAGTTCCACGAGTTTGTGTTCCACGCGATGGAAAACTTCAACACAGCCTCTGGAAGAAGGGGTTTGGGGAAGACACGTCAGGAAGGAGTGCAAGTTGCAGGCAGCGTGGCCACCTTGAACCAACACACCTCTCTTGCGAAGCGTGGCCAGGTCTGGGCACACATCTGACCTGCGCCTTTCTTCAAGGCAGGGAAGAAGATCCAACACCCCTCCCCAGCTAGTAGAAACAATAAATGATGGGAGGGGTGACTGAGTTTATTCCAGACTACATGGCTTGCAGGAATGGGTTTTATAATATTTATAAAAGTACAACAACAATATGCATTATAATCTTTGCTCTAGTATTACAGAGCTAGTGGAGCTAATTTGAGGCTGTGTACACACCATACATTAAAAGCATTATTGCTTCTCCCCTGTAAAAATCCTAGGAAACTGTAGATTACCCTTCTACCGCATAGCTACAATTTGTAGCACCCTTTACAAACTGCAATTCCCAGGATTCTTTGGGAGAAATGTGCTTTTAATGCCTGTTTTTCCTGCAGCAGGCATGCTCAGATACCCCTCTGGAAGCTCAATCCCACAGAAAGCTGTGACGGCCACCAACTTGGATGGTTTTATGCAGGAGAAGGCTATCAATGGCCACTAGGCACAATGGCTATGCTCTACCTCCACAGTCAGTGGCAGTAACCTTTGTGAATAGTAGTTGCTGGAAGATGCAGGAAGGGAATACAGAATGCTCTTGTTTCCACAGGCCTCTGGTTGGCCACTGTGAGAACAGGATGCTGGACTAGACAGGCCAATGTGGCCTCATCCAGCAGGCACTTCTTATGTTCAAGGGTAGAGATTGTGAGAAGGCATCTTCCAAAGCAATCCCACCCCGCAAATAGCTTTGGAGCCTTCTTGCCTCTAGCCTAGCCCTCACCCCTTTTCCTGTTCCCGCTGGAGTCTTCTTTTGCTTGCCACGCCTGCGGGCTCTCTTCTGGCCAACGCTGCCAATGACAGATCTTAAAAACTTGGGGTCGGTGAGATTCGGCAATCGCGGCACCTTGCGCCTGCTGGACCTCCTGAGAGGAGCGGGTTGTGTCTTGCTCCTCGTGAAGTAGGGTGAAATGTGAGGAGTGTTGCAAGCCGGTGCAGAGGCAGAAGGTCTGGCCGAGATGGTAGAGCATGGCTTCTCTATCAGGGGCTTCTTCCTAACCCAGTGGAACACCAGTATCATACGCCTCTTAGATGGGTTGGACATGCTGAAGAAGGTGCTGGAGGCCCAAAGACCAGGGTGACTTCAAAACGGAGGACACAGCAGGCAGTTCCCTATCAATGGTGTCAAATCCAAGCAAATGTTAGCTCCAGTCCTGTTAAATCGATCCAGCAATTATGAACGTTAAATAAGGGATTAATTCCTCAGGCAGTATGAAAAGACTCTATGTGGCTTTTCAATAGATGGGAGCCCCCAACTACTGCCACTGTTGACAGCCTGTTGCCCCTTCACTCTGCTTGAATGGGTTATGTCACAATGGTTCCTTCATCAGGTGTTTGAGAGCATGAAAATGATGTTGGGAGTTTCAGCAATGAACGATCAGGCATTACATACTATTTGAAAGTCTGAACATTTCCTCTTTTTTTATTTAACAAAATTTATATACCACTTTTATAATTTATATACAAATCATTAGGAGAGTAAGTTAAAAATATACTGTAGCTTATTCACTTATAGGCTAGTTTACATACTTTATTCCTTCTTATACTTCTATCCCACCTTTCCTCCACAGAGCATACACACTTCAGCCTCCACCTTCTCCATTTTATCCTGACAGCAATATTGTGAGCTAGGGCCATAGCTCAGTGGTAGAACAAGTGCTTAGCACACAGAAGGCATCAGGTTCAGTCCCCAGCATCTCCTGGTGGGACTGGGAGCGCTCCCTCTGCGCTTTGGAGGCTTCGCATTGCTATCGCTGAAGCCAAGGAGCCTGCATTCGCTCCATAGGACGCACACACATTTCCCCTTAATTTTTGGAGGGGAAAAAGTGTGTCCTATAGAGCGAAAAATACGGTACATTGCAGGTCAAAAGGTAATTGAAAACAAGCCCCCAAAGTATCATTCTTTAGGGTTGCAGCGTGTAGATGTCTAATCCGTCAAAATATTGGCCGAAGCTACCTCACTTCTCCAGATGTGTTAAGAGGGGGTTGTCTGTGCAACTTTGGGTTGGCATTCAACTGCAGGACTGCTTCAACTGCAGTGAAATTACCATATTTTTCCATGTATAAGACTAGGTTTCCCCCCCTAATAAATTATGTCAAAAATTAGGGGGCATCTTATACGCAGATAGTGCTGAGGCCATTTTCTTAAATCCAAGTCCCCCAAAATAGGGGGCGACTTATACATGGGGGTGTTTTATAGACGGAAAAATTTGGTACTCTGTGACCTCTGCTACAGTGCCTTATGAACAAGGGTGTGGCTGTAACACCCTGGACCTCTTTGTTGCTGAAGACCAGGGTGAGATACCATAGACAGCAACCTTGGACTTGTGCTTATCTATTTAGAAAGTCCTAACCTAGAGCAAAATAAACAAATGAATGAATTTTATTATTTCGGTCACAGACCAGTTCCAGCCCACATACAATATTAAGGAAGTCATAAAACACGAAAGGGACACATTTGAATTTGCAATTAGGTAGAACAGGGACAATACAGATATAGCAACAGTTAAAAATATATAAATTAAAACTTAGTCACTAACATATAACCTAAAATTATCATTTAAAACCTTAATCATTATGATAGCACAGCTTGTTCCCTAGGTTTTATGGCAATCACACAGAATTTGGCTGCCCTTAACGTGATCCCAGGATCCTTGTCCTCTACCAGGGATTTTAGACACTGAAGTTTGGATTCATTTGGAGATTTTTGTATAGCAGGGGTAATAAATACTGAGCGTATATCCCCGTAGAAACGGCAGCGTAACAAGGCATGAGAGACAGTTTCTACCTCCATCAAGCCGCTGGGGCAGACTCGTTCCGCGTACGGTTTACCCTCAAATCTGCCCTGCAATAAGGCAGATGGCGGCATGTTGAATCTAGCGAGGGTAAATGACCGTCTGAGCAAAATAAACATTCAAAACAAAAAAACCAGAGGGGTGGGAAAGGCCTTTGGAAAGAAAGACCTTTTTTTTGAAGTTTGGTATTTTTGTTTGTCTATTTTGTGGAGCTCCTCTGGTTGATCCCACCTGGAGTGGCTTATGAAGATGCTGCCACTCTGCCCATCTCCTATGGCACACCCATTCTGGCCCTTGAACGGAGAGCAAAGATGCAGTCAGGGTAAGTGGAGGAGGCACACAGATCAGTGCGATTAAACCTTATTATGACTGGCCAACAAACTTCAGTTTCCTGTTGCAGTTGCTGGCTGCCTTGAGACATTCCCTGGTGTATAGTGAGGGGAATAACCAGATCAGCGCAGCATTTTGAGTAAAGTTCAGGGTTGTTGCTCTATATTTCGGATCTTTTGCCGATATAGCTGTTACACCAAATGATGTAAATACTGTAGATCAGCGTGAAGAAATGTTTTGATTTTGTTGGTGGCTAGAATATAAAATGGCTGCTTTTTCAGGCAGGGAGTCGGTGCTTTGTTACTATGGGAACAATAAAGTTAGCAAAATGCTGGCTAAATAAGAAATCAATCAGGGAGATAGACTATTGTATACAAGTGGGGCAGGCAAGCAGGAGAAAGAGGCAGCAAGAAATGAGAAGGAAGAATCCAGTAGCCGCGTCTAGGATGGAATCTTGTTGTTGTTGTTTAGTCGTTTAGTCGTGTCCGACTCTTCGTGACCCCATGGACCAGAGCACGCCAGGCACTCCTGTCTTCCACTGCCTCCCGCAGTTTGGTCAAACCCATGTTTGTAGCTTCGAGAACACTGTCCAACCATCTCGTCCTCTGTCGTCCCTTTCTCCTTGTGCCCTCCATCTTTCCCAACATCAGGGTCTTTTCCAGGGAGTCTTCTCTTCTCACGAGGCGGCCAAAGTACTGAAGCCTCAGCTTCAGGATCTGTCCTTCCAGTGAGCACTCAGGGCTGATTTCCTTAAGAATGGATACGTTTGATCTTTTTGCAGTCCATGGGACTCTCAAGTGTCTCCTCCAGCACCATAATTCAAAAGCATCAATTCTTCGGCGATCAGCCTTCTTGATGGTCCAGCTCTCACTTCCATACATCACTACTGGGAAAACCATGGCTTTAACTATACGGACCTTTGTTGGTAAGGTGATGTCTCTGCTTTTTAAGACGCTGTCTAGGTTTGCCATCGCCTTTCTGCCAAGGAGCAGGCGTCTTTTAATTTCGTGACTGCTGTCACCCTCTGCAGTGATCATGGAGCCCAAGAAAATGAAATCTCTAACTGCCTCCATTTCTTCCCCTTCTATTTGCCAGGAGGTGATGGGACCAGTGGCCATGATCTTCGTTTTTTTGATGTTGAGCTTCAGACCATATTTTGCGCTCTCCTCTTTCACCCTCATTAAAAGGTTCTTTAATTCCTCCTCACTTTCTGCCATCAAGGTTGTGTCATCTGCATATCTGAGGTTGTTGATATTTCTTCCGGCGATCTTAATTCCGGCTTGGGATTCGTCCAGCCCAGCCTTTCGCATGATGAATTCTGCATATAAGTTAAATAAGCAGGGGGACAATATACAGCCTTGCCGTACTCCTTTCCCAATTTTGAACCAATCAGTTGTTCCATATCCAGTTCTAACAGTAGCTTATTGTCCCACATAGAGATTTCTCAGGAGACAGGTGAGGTGATCAGGCACTCCCATTTCTTTAAGAACTTGCCATAGTTTGCCGTGGTCGACACAGTCAAAGCCTTTTACATAGTCAATGAAGCAGAAGTAGATGTCTTTCTGGAACTCTCTAGCTTTCTCCATAATCCAGCGCATGTTTGCAATTTGGTCTCTGGTTCCTCTGCCTCTTCTAAATCCAGCTTGCACTTCTGGCAGTTCTCTGTCCACATACTGCTTAAGCTTGCCTTGTAGAATTTTAAGCATAACCTTGCTAGCGTGTGAAATGAGTGCAATTGTGCGGTAGTTGGAGCATTCTTTGGCACTTCCCTTCTTTGGGATTGGGATGTAGACTGATCTTCTCCAATCCTCTGGCCACTGCTGAGTTTTCCAAATTTGCTGGCATATTGAGTGTAGCACCTTAACAGCATCATCTTTTAAAATTTTAAATAGTTCAGCTGGAATATCATCACTTCCACTGGCCTTGTTATTAGCAATGCTTTCTAAGGCCCATTTGACTTCACTCTCCAGGATGTCTGGCTCAAGGTCAGCAACCACACTACCTGGGGTATACGAGACATCCATTTCTTTCTGGTATAGTTCCTCTGTGTATTCTTGCCACCTCTTCTTGATGTCTTCTGCTTCTGTTAGGTCCTTTCCACTTTTGTCATGGAAATCTTTGTACGAAATGTTCCTTTCATATCTCCAATTTTCTTGAACAGATCTCTGGTTTTTCCCATTCTATTGTTTTCCTCTATTTCTTTGCATTGCTCGTTTAAGAAGGCCTTCTTGTCTCTCCTTGCTATTTTTTGGAAATCTGCATTCAATTTCCTGTATCTTTCACTATCTCCCTCGCATTTTGCTTGCCTTCTCCCCCCCGCTATTTGTAAGGCCTCATTGGACAGCCACTTTGCTTTCTTGCATTTCCTTTTCATTGAGATGGTTTTAGTTGCTGCCTCTTGTATAATGTTACGAGCCTCCACCCATAGTTCTTCAGGCACTCTGTCCACCAAATCTAAATCCTTAAACCTGTTCCTCACTTCCACTGTGTATTCATAAGGGATTTGACTTAGATTGTATCTTACCGGCCCAGTGGTTTTTCCTACTTTCTTCAGTTTAAGCTTGAATTTTGCTATAAGAAGCTGATGATCTGAGCCACAGTCAGCTCCAGGTCTTGTTTTTGCTGACTGTATAGAGCTTCTCCATCTTTGGCAGCAGAGAATATAATCAATCTGATTTCGATGCTTCCCATCTGGTGATGTCCATGTGTAGAGTCATCTCTTGTGTTGTTGGAAAAGAGTGTTTGTGATGACCAGCTTGTTCTCTTGGCAGAACTCTATTAGCCTTTGCCCTGCTTCGTTTTGAACTCCAAGGCCAAACTTGCCAGTTGTTCCTTTTATCTCTTGA